GTGGGCTTAATGACAATATTTTTACTCTTCAGGTCCAAGGAGACGACTTCCAACCAATAATCCGTCAGGACATACTGGAGTGTTTGGTTCTACCATAGTCCAGTCATTACGCATAAATTTATTCCTGACAAGTCATTGTATGAGTATTTCACTTCCTACTGGTACAACGACTGCCCTCCTTGTTGTCTCTAGAAGTTCAACCTGTGTGGTATCTACTGTCATATAGTGCACAGGAATTTCCTGGTCATAGATTACGAAGCTATTTGAAACTATCCTAATTTCGCATCTATGTCTCAACATGAATTCATTTCCCAATATGCACTCTTCCTCAATGCCAATCATCCACACGTCATGAAGTGTGGAAAACTAACTATTATTGTGATGTAAAAAAATAATACTTAGGTAGTTATAGCCCAGCTGCTTATGGTATTTAACGTTTTCTACATAGTCTACATTATTCTGATGAAGCATTAGCATTTTTTGGCTTGAAATAGTCACATGCAATGAGATGTTTAAATTAGTAGTATAATTTAACAATTAATAACTACTCTGCATGTACATAGTACAATAATTTACTATAATAAAACATACATATTTATGTTAAGTCTAGCTCCCCATGTAGTGTTACAACAGAATGATTATTTGTTGACTTTTCATTGGATGTTTGTGGATTTTATGTGAACAGCCATGCAATTATTTAAATCATATTTCATGCAAAATTGCTTCCAGATTTAATCTCATAGTACCTATTTTTAACTAAATTATCTGGGGGACATGCCCCCAGACCCCTCGTAGCATTAGCATGCTGTGTATATGCACAATATATGTTAGCTTTTGATCTCACTGATTAGAACTCCCCTATCAAACATTCTGCGTACGGGCCTGTAGATGATTTATTCTGTCACTGATGTTCTTTTCTACTTCTGTGACTTCTTTTTGTTGTTGTACATCTTCAGTTTTGTCATTACAGCGCTTCTGTACTTCTTCGACTCTTTCATTACAGCCTTTCTCTACTTTATTGGTGTCTTTTTGTTCCTCAGTTTTGTCATTACATCCTTTCTGTATTTCTTGTTGTTGTAATTCTTACTTAGATGGTATGTCTCTTTCTTTCAACTCATCACTTAAATTCCTGTCTGTTTCTTCTTAGTCTTCTTTTAATTTTCTGTCTCTTTTTGTTCTATTCATTTTCTCTCTCTTCCTCTTGATCTTCTTGGGAAATGTGTTAGTTTATGCTATGACATTTTCAAATACTTTATTTTTGTTGAAACAATAATCTTATTATTTTCGATGAAGCGTACAAATTAAGTATTTTTAAATAATCTGTTGTGAATAATATATAAACTTTATGAAATAACACCATGAACATTAGGGCGGACAGGTGTCGCTTTGACGAATAGTCTGGGAAAAAAACATAAATCATAATCTACACTTAACGACGAAAGTATTGAGAATTCTAACAAAATAAACAACTTTTAAACAGGTAAATGTACCATATCTTCTTTGTTAACTTTAGTATGTGTTGTTTCGAATTTATTTTATCTTAAACATGAAAAGTAACCATATTTTAATAGTATTTGTCAAAGATTACCTCCATTTTTAAATTTTTAGCACGGCTGTTATTAACAGTCGCTAAGAGTTAATTAAATACCAATAGGTGTCGCTGTCGTAAATAGTCCAGGAGAAAAATATCAATTCGTATGCTTATTAAACTTAAATATACTATGAGATATATGACATTATAAAAAAGTAGAACTTCATTTTATTAGGTAAATATTTCAGTTGTTATTGGTAATGACTGAAATGCTTCATATCACATGTACGTAATTTGAAAAATATGAAAGGTATCCTAATTCTAATAATAATAGTAATGTATTATTTGGCATAGATTACCACAACTTTTACTTTTAACTTTGAAAATAATTACAATTAATGTTTATTTAAGTTTTAACTTAATTTTTTATGTAAATTTAAGTTATATTATGCCCTAAGTTGAATTTAAGAATCATGATTTTCAGAATTTGTGTATGATACTGTATTGTGATTAGATGTTAAGTAAGTCTTAAGTTTAACTAGAATTTCTGCAGAAACGTATATCACATTTGCAAAGTTGTACACAATCATGCCAGCAAAAGTATATCGAAAGAAGAAAAATCATAATTTTCATAAATCTAATGTGTAGATGTATAGTCTAAAAACTAATATTATACTATAAATTAATTTACTTGTCTTAGTCATGCACTAATGATACACATGAAACCTACTGCCTGACAATTCCTCTGACACTATACCACTACCAGAGTATGTCTGCTCACATTCTCATGTCTCTAATTGTCAGCAGACTTGGTGCATTATCTCCAGAAAAACTACTTGTATGGGAGACTTGATTTAAGTTTTCAAAATTATCAGATATTTGGAAAATCTTTCTATGTCACTATGGTGTGCCTGTTTAAATAGTGGAATGGAAAAATTTTAAACCCAGACTTGAATATTATGGGTGATAGGTTTAAGCATTCAAGGTCTCAATGTAGATTTGTTCTTTGTCAGAAATTCTTTGGTTTTTAAACTCGCAGAGATAGTATTGGTAGGGTTTGGGAAAATACTAGTAAATTTAATTGTAAGCTGGTTGGATTGAATAAAGTCCAGCCAAACTAAATCCTTATTACTGGTGGAGTGCCTTGGTAGTCAGTGCTTGAGACTTGACTTTTCTTATTTACATTAATGATAATAATAATAAGGGCATAATTAGTAAGTCAGTAAAATTAGCTGATGATGTTTTAAACGTGAGTATTTCTAGCTGTATTATGGATGTTGAGTATCACTTGGATCTGTTGATAAATTGGACAAATGTTTGGCAAATCACCTTTAATTATAGTAAGTACAAGATAATGCATTTGCATTAACATAATATGAATCATACATTGGAAATCCACTGAATTATGAATATTATTACCAAAGAAAAGGATCTTGGCATAATGGTCAATAAGTTGCTCAAGCCATTGAGACAGTACTCTGTTGCTAGTAGAAAGTATAGAGAAATCTTAGCATATATATAGACACAATGATTATAAGCCAACTTAAATAATTATCATTGTGCACAAATTACTGTTTAGGCCTTACTTGGTGTACTGTGCCCAGTTTTGGTCTCCATAACATAAAAATTCAAGGATAGCAAGGGACCTGTTAGTCCATCTAGGCTGTTTCATCATCAAACTAAACCTAAAAATATAAATAAACAAAAAAACTAAAGCTCAAAGCCACCCATTATGATTTAAATATTTATTAAGTTTCCTTAAATTTATTACGTCCACTGCATCTAAAGGCAAGTCATTCCAAATTCTAACCACTATGTTCAAAATATTAAACTAGCTTAGCTCAAGATGACTTCTATTTTGCCAAAACTTAAATTTGTGTCCCCTAAACCTACCATTCTCACCATTGAATACAAAAAAAGAAGATGCATTGACATACTTCTGTCAGAATTTTCTAACTTTTTTTTTTTTTTTTTACTGGAGGTAACCAATTTTAGAGACTTTAACATGTCATTGTATGACAACCTTTCTATTCCAGTTACCATCCTAGTACTTATAGCCCTCCTCTAAACCCTTTCCAACAATTCAATACCCTTTCTAAGGTAAGGAGTCCAAGTCTAAACACAATACTCCAATTGAGGCCTAACCAATGACATGTAAGTTAAAATTATATCCTTTTAAGACTTGTATTCAGTAATTTTGTAGATATAACTTAAAATTCTATTTGCCCTACCAATAGCAACAGTACACTGCTTGGATGGTTAACACTGTTGAAGTTATTTCCTTCAAAATTATACTTTTAATTTCAATTATGATAACATATATGCATAACCTTGCATTTATTATAATTGAAAGCCATCTGAAATTTATTTGCCCAACTCACTAGATAATCTTAATGCATTTTGTAAAGTAGCAGCATGATTTTCAAAGTCAGCAACAGTCAAGACCTTAATATCATCAGCAAATTTAAGCAATTTATTGACAAATTCATCTGTGTCAATAATACGCCCCACTTGTGACATTAATCCAGTTTGTCTGAACTTCATAAATAGTAAACCTCTGCTTTTCTCCATCCAGCCATTTTTCTGTCCAATGAGCCAACTTACCCTCACACCTATAGATATAATTTTTGTTAACGAGTCTTTTATGTGGGATCTTGTCACATGCTTTTGAAACTTCAGATACACCAAACCCACATCCTTACTTTCATCTGTAAAAGTTTAGTAAACCAAGATTTCCCTATTGAAACCATGTTGACTGTCTAACACAATTTTAAACTTTGATAAATGACTTTGCAAAGCATATGTTTTCAGACTTTCAAGAACTTTTCATACCACTGATGTAAAATTAATAGGCCTGTAAATTACCTGGATAGTTATAACCTCCTTTAAAAAGAGCAGGAACATTAGTCAATTTTTAAGTTTCTTGCACCTATCCACTATTTAAAGACTTATAAGAAATAATAACAGGTGACTTACACATCTAATCTTTAACCTCTTTCAAAACCCCTGGGGAAATATCTGGCACAAGAGCCTTATCATTCATTAAACTTCTCAATTTCTTTTTCTTTAAAAGCTCAGAATTACTGTGATCATCTTATTTCCATCTAACAACTTTGGGGAGAAGAATATTGCTTAAATTTTCATTTGTAAAAATTGAAGAAAGATTAGAATTTAGTAATTCAGCCATCCCATAATCATCAGAAATGAGCCTTCCTTTACCATCCCTTAAAGACCTTACTTCCATTTTATATCTGCTAGAAATCTTTACCATTAATTTTTTATATTTTCAGCCATCTTCTTTTCATATACCTTTTTTGATTTTCTAATGTCCTGTTTGACCAATTCTCTTGATCTTTTATAATGTTCTGAGACTTCCATCATAGCAATTAGTTTAAAACCTCTTTTTCATTTTTTCCATTATATTCTATGAACCAACCTGGTCTTTCACTTGCATCCACCCGTAATTTTTTTATAACTAAAAAGGAACGTGTCTACCTTAAAATTTCCACAATTGATCAGTATCCAGTTAATTCAATTGCCCAATTCATAACAGATAATTCTTGTCACATCTCTTCAAAATTTTAATTAATTCAGAGGAAGGTTGGCTGAATTATTCCTAGGGTGGAAGGGTTATCTTATGTCTTGAGAAACAAAGGTTCAAAGGTGGTCTTACTGAATTTTAAAAAATTAATTATACGATCAGTTGAATAAAGGCTTTAGATTTCTTTGAACTATATGCTGAAGATAAAAGATGAGAGAACACGTGTAAGATTTAAAATAGGCTAGGCTCCAGTTCAGCATATTTATTTTACTAAAAGGATAATTGACTTTTGAAGTCACATCAAAACAATTTTTTTTTTTTAAATTTAAATCAAGAGTCCTTCAAACCTATATATAATACAACAACGTTTTAAAATGAACAGCAAAACCACATCGGCAGATAAAATAAGGACAACAAGGGAATAATTGGTCTTTCAAGGCTGTCTTCACAAACACACTCTTAGAAAAGTAAAGATTTCAGGAAATCACTGATTTCCCTTTTAAACTCCTGTAAGGTGCTGGCCTCCATTGGTGCTGATGATAACTCATTCCCCTAAACTGAATGGCTTCTTTTCATCTTGCCATTTCCTGTGTTTTTATACTCATAGAAATCAATAGATTACGTACAGCATGAGCACAGTCTAACATTTTGGGCCTGTTATTATGATTATAACACTTTCCTCAATTACCTGCTTTATGTAAGAGGCATTATCAATTATCATCACTTGTCATCCAAGTTAAAGGCTCTAGGCTTCCTAATATCTTAAGTATTTTTAGAATGTAATACCAACTCAATACTGAGGTTGTAACAGTTAATGTTTTACTGTACTTACATGTTAATCCCTTATTTGGAGGTTTTTGTACTTACCATTAAATAACTTCAAAAATATCTCAGAATTAGTGAATATAATTATTAATAATTGATTGCATGTTGTTATTGTCAGGGTAGGTGTTACTGTTTTCACTGATAGCACATTGGCCTCAGAACATTAGTATGACCCAAAGGCCCCCAGGTTCAGATTTCTAAACATCTTGTTACATTATAATGTATATATATAAATAATTGTAGTAGAGAATACTGTGGCAACTATTATTTCAATTTTTAATTAAACTGTTTTGACACATGGTCACAGGCATATCAGACAAACTTTCAGTACCATACTACTAATCACACTTAATATCAACATTTGAAGATGTGAACTTACTCATTAGTGTAACTGAAATATAGGATCTTGTAATAGTTTTAGTAAAGCTAATAGAATGTTAGGATATATTTATAGTCATGTTAATTACAAGTCAAAAGAGGCAATGATTTGTGTACAAAATCATTAATTAGGCTTCACTTGGTAGTGTTGAATACAGTTTTAAGTTCTTTATCTAAAGTATACTGAATTTATTGAAAATAATTCAAAGAATGGTTACTGTAGAGAATCTACTGATAGATTCTTCTGTGGAAAAAGGTTAAGATCTCTTACTTTCTCTTGAGAAAAAACGTTTACAAGGTTACTTGGAGAATCAATTAGGTTTTTGTGTGCTTTATACTGAAGACAAAAGGATGAGTGGGCACAAATTTAATATTTGGAAAAGATGGGATGGGCTATAATTACAGTATTTTTTTTTTCTCTAATACAGTTATGAGGGTGGTTTGAACTGTTAAGGAGGACATTGAATTGTTGGAAAGGGTTCAGAGGAAAGCTACTAGGGAGGTAAAGGCTGTTATATGAGGACATGTTAAGATTTTTGAAATTGTTTTCTCTTCAAAAGAAGAAG